AGGATTGGGTTAAATCTGGATCCATTGCTCGCATTCACGACCGCGATGATGCGGAAACATGGAAAGGGTGGAAGAGATGGGTGTTTTTCCTGGTCCCATTTCTCACATTGGCCAACACCGGAATCTACTTGTTCTACCTTGGTCTGAGAATCGCCTGCATTATTATGGCTCAAAACATTGCTCACGTCTCATACGCTGGAGCTTGGGTCTTTGTGGCCATCGAAATTACTGTTGCGATCCCCTCCCTCATGCACAACTGCTGGACTATGATGGCTTTGAAGAAGAGAGGCCGTGCCAAGCTGAGATTGACCGGTAATGAATGTCCTACGGTGGATGTGTTTATCACTTGCTGTGGAGAGGACGACGAGGTTGTTATCGATACCGTCCGTGGTGCGTGTGACCAGGACTACCCCCGCGACCAGATGAGGGTCATCATTCTAGACGACGCCAAGTCTGCCACCCTCGAGGCAGCCTGCAACGAACTCGCCGTGAATCACCCCAACGTCATTTACATGGCTCGTGAAAAGATCCCCGGAAAGCCCCACCACTTCAAGGCAGGCAACCTGAACTATGGTCTGGATCAAGTCAACCTTTTGCCTGGAGGCGCCGGCCAGTTCATGGCCGCCCTCGATGCTGATATGGTAAATTACAAATACCCATCCCACATTGAAATTGAAATTTGTGTACTGACTGACAATCTGCAGATCCCCGAACAAGACTGGCTTCGCGCGGTCCTTCCCCACTTGTTGGTGGATCCTAAAATGGCCCTTGCATGCCCGCCGCAGCTTTTCTACAACACCCCTGCATCCGATCCGCTTGCCCAGAGTCTGGATTTCTTCGTGCATGTTATTGAGCCGATCAAGGATGCACTCGGTGTGGCTTGGTGCACTGGATCCGGTTACGTTGTGCGACGCGAGGCTCTCGAAGAGATTGGCAACTTCCCGCTTGGTTCTTTGGCTGAAGATGTCGCGACCTCAACACTCATGCTTGGCCGAGGATGGAAAACCGCATACATTCACGAGGCTCTTCAATTTGGTACCGTGCCGGAAGACTTTGGTGGACATCTCAAGCAGCGTACGCGATGGGCAATTGGAACCGTCGACACAGCTGTCAAGCTGAAGTTCTGCCTCTGGGGTGATGCCGTTCGACAGATGACCTTTGCTCAGCGCTTCTCTGGCTTCCTCTACGCAACCCTCAGTGTCTACACCCTCCTACTGACCATTTCCCTCTTTGCCATCCCAATCATCCTCTTGTGGGGCAAGCGTCTGGTCGCCTTCGCGACTGAAGAGCAACTCCGCTGGCTGATCTGGGCCTGTTTCGCCGCAACCGTCTCTAACCGTCTCTGCGAGATGGCCCTGTTCATCCCGGCCGGCTACCACACCGGTCAACGAGGCTCCCGCTATCAACTTTGGATGTCACCCTACATCGCTCTTTGCATTGTGCGCTCCTTCTTCCTGCCCACGTGGCTGGGCGGTCAAACCCAAGCCTTCAAGCCAACCGGTTCTCTGGGCTCGGCTCTGAACGAGCGCGACCCAAAGAAGTCTAAGAACATGTTCGTTCGCCTACGCGTGATCCTGCTCAACTACATGGCCAGCTTCCACCTTGCCTTCGTCTACGTCACCCTCGTCGCAGTCGTTATCTCCTCTTACCGCTGCTTCGCCCAGAACTCTGGCTTCAGAGATATCATCCTCGGCCTCATCACCCACGCTTTCTGGCCCCCGCTCACCTTCCTTTTCATCTGCACTTCGCTGTGGACCCCGGTCTCCTATGCGATCGATCCGCCCAAAATGCCAGAGCGTGAGGAGCTTTTGACCCGCGACCCCAAGACTGGTGTCGCGCACCCGACCAAGAAGAGTAAAAAGATCGCGTTCGGTGGCCAGGCCGCTTGGTTCGAGATTGAATATACGGTTGCCACCGTAGCCACGATTTTGGTATTCATCTACTCGTTTATGTTCTAATTATGATTTCCCGACATGCATGCGGCTTTTCGGAAATCTGTCTGTATAGCTAACGTGTCACATGCGTCATTTGCGAGCCATTTTTTTTATGCCGCGCGTTATATATATCTACACCTTGGAGAGTGGCGTTAAGTTTTTGTGACTTTCAGGTGTACCATTTACTACTGCATATTGGATCTTTGTTATACGGAGTACATAAAAAATACAAATGTTGATCAACTCCATAAAAAATGATCTATCACCCGGGCTGTGTATATTCCGTACATAAATAGTCGGTGATCAACACGACCCAAAACTCATTTAGATCCCCTCTCAGCCAATCATTCTTAAGTGCTGATTTAATACCGGACCGATCCGGGTGCGTTGCCTAGGTTATATTACCTCTGCATTGAAGCCCGATAACCCCATTTGCCGTGTCTATGTATGTTTGCCTTGCTTTATTGCTTATCGACTGCATTGATCGTCAATGTGTTCTAATCTAGCGCTTTTATCAGACCATGTTTTTATTTTTTTATATATTTTTTTTTCGATCTCTGATTGGAATTTTCAGGATCATCGCTGTTTTGCTGACTGCTTTGCTGACGTTGCTAGGTCTGGAGCTTTTGCAGAACGGGACATATTCTTGGAAAGCTTGATGCGAACCGACTCATCGTGTATTTTCGAAGTTGAGACACGTAACTTGGAATTTATATTCATTAATATTAGAATGAGACAAGGATTCGTTACTAGCTCACACGTTAGCCCCCCAACCCAGGCCTCTTCGTTGGCCTCGCCCCCTCATTACCCGAAATACGCCACTGGCGCATACTTGGCTCAAATGTTTCTTCCTGAAACATCCTTTTCATTGGCAAATGAATCTTTTCTCTTTCACTAAATCTCTGCAAACCAAGTAGGTTCAGTCGATGATCAGTTGATGAACCTATGTTGTATGTTCTGATCATGCAACAAAACGGTGAACGATGTTGACCCCCGAAAATGTCGCAAAGGCGATAGGATCTCGACCCCTGCTTCTGGTGACTACTGCAACATAGTCTAGTACCGGTGGTTCCTGAAATGAATCTACCTTGCCATTGCCAGTGGTTTATTAAAGGTCTCGCCACACCCAACGCTCTCCCCATACCCCAGTTTTCCAGCCCCGTCATCTTGACAAACACTTCTATTTAAGTCGGGCATGTGGAAACCGACGGCGTGGGTCGGATTTACGCCGAACCGTTGAACGGTTCGGGGCTTTATCATCTGCCCGTCTTACCACGCATCAGGACTCCTTTCGATGAGAGAAGTGTTTGATAGGCTTCAAGCCACTCGGTCCGGTTTGTAGGGTTCCGGTCACCTGATCGGTCTTCAGGTATATCTCCCACCAGAAATGGCAATCTGAACCAAGTCAGTCTCCAACTATGTCACCGGACCCGGTTTTGAAAGGTCGAGATCCGGGTTATAGTTCGGAGTGATTGTTCCAAGCCCCGTGGTTCGTGAGTTGGCTGCGATTGTGATGGCTATTTAGAATCATAGACGTCGCCGTGTTCAAATTTAATCCATAGCAACTTCAAAGTGCAACTATCATTACTACGTATTCAATTACAAAGATATCTCTTTCGAATTTGTATTCACAATGTCCTTCTTGAGGAACTTCTTCGGTACATCCGCTGTCCCAGCGAAGGATGAAAAGAAACCCATCCGTGCTCTACCCGCTTCCTGGTACACATCCCAGGATATGTACGAGCTTGAACGCCGATCTATCTTCTCCCGCAAGTGGCTCCTGACTACACACAAGCACCGAGTCCCCAACACCGGTGACTGTGTCCGCTACGACGCTGCCGGCTACGAGTTCATCGTCGCCAAAGACAACGATGGAAACATCACTGCTTTCCACAGCAACGATCTCTTCCCTGCCCATGTTCACATTGACCGAAATGGATTCGTCTGGGTGAATCTGGACGCCAGCGAGACCCCCGAAGTTGCCTGGAAAGACGACTTCGAGGGCGTCGACGAGCAGCCCCGTTTCCAGCACTACAACTTCGAGGAATATAACTTCGATCACACATGGGATATGGAGGGCGAGTTCAACTGGAAGATCCTAGCCGATAACTACAATGAGTGCTATCACTGCCAAGTCGCCCACCCTGATATCCCCACCATCGCAGACCTCAACTCCTATTATGTCAAGACCAAGGCCGGCCACATCCAACACTACGGTGCCCCGCGACCTGACCAGATCGAGAAGGGATTCCGGATAGCAACTACCTATTTCTGGCCTAACGCTTCTTTCAATATCTCGTGAGTATATACTATCCTGCTGGGCAGATTCCATCAAAAGGCTAACATTGAATCCTTAGTCCCAACTTCTTCTTCATGCAGCGATTCACCCCTACCAGCCCGACGCAATGTGTGATGCGCTACGAAGTCTACCGTCACAAGGACGCCACCGACGAGGCCTTCAACCTCATCAGCGACATGTACAAACGAATCATGTCTGAGGACAAGTACCTGTGCGTGCACTCGCAGAAGAACCTCAACGCTGGCATCTTCGTCAACGGCCAGCTTCATCCCGAGATGGAGAAGGGTCCTCTTCACTTCCAGAAGACTGTGCGCGAGGTCGTCACAGAGCACTATGCCAAAGAAGAGGCTGTGGGCCATCAAATCTGGCCTGCGAAGCACGATCTTCCTACAGACGTTGCTGTCAGCCACGACCAGGAGAATGTCGCTCTCCGTACAGGTGGACACAACTACGGTGTCGAGGTCGACACTTTCAAGGACGCCATGGGTTCCGGTCTCTCTACAGTAACGGCCATTGCTGTGTAGGGCTGGAGATGTGGCGGGAAAAGATAACACGGTTTATGATATATAGTTTGACATTGCGTTCCGTTTTAGCATTTGATGATAATTATTAGGAAATTGGTTTGCTTATGCGGGAGTTTAGCGTTGACAGAATCAATTACTTTTTATATTTCCTTCAATATACTATGTTCTAAATCAAGTCTGTCTGGCTGATAATTATATTCATATATCCATACACGCCCCCTACAGGAAAGGAACGAACAATCACTAAGCCCAGTCGACAAGGAACTCATCCAGCAAATCATAATTAGCCCTTTCTCTCTCCCTCCGTCCCCGAAGAAGATCGGCAGCAATATCAAACTTGGGCTCGGGACTAGAACAACCCTCCTCCGGCGACGAAGCACGACTCGAGTCATTGAAACGTCGAACACCATTGGCCGTTCCCACTTCACCACTCTCAGCCACGGGCTTGATACTGGGCATCTCGGACTCGAACTCTCCCAAATCAAGCTCGATCCCAGGCTGTCTCTTCATGTCATGTACTTCACGCCCATGATCTGATCTCAAGACAGTTTCCGCACTAAGCAGAGATGAACCACGCCCATGAGTCCTGCCGGGATACTGAGATGGCTCATGTACTGACACCGGCGACACAGACCTAGTCGTGCGACTATCACTATGATTAATCGAATCCAAGCTCCGCGGTGACCACGGCAATCTCTGTTCAAGAGAATCGTCCTGCCCGCGACGCCTACGAGCAGCACGCATATACCCCCTCGCCGGGTCACGGGAACATTCTCGATGCTGACATCCATCCGTCAACAACTCCGTGAGAAGGACATTTAACTGCGCCAGGCGCTTGACCTGTCTGGTGGGAATGGCGTCCTCATACGGAGTCAATTTCCTCTTACGGGACATCCGCGCGCCCATCCCCATCTGCGTTTGCGGTTGCGTCTGCATCTGCTCGGGCAATTCTCTCGCGTCTCTTAGTCCGCGAGATTCAAACCTCGGCGACTGCCCGGCTTCCATCTTCAACGCCTCTTCCTCATCATAGGCGATGGCGGGCTTGAACCCGATGCCGTGGTCGATGAGGACCTGGTTGAGATAGCTGACGCGGCTTTCGAGAAAGGCTACGTAGCTGCGTGGCACCTCTTGTTTGGTGAGGGGGTCGTAGCCCACGCAGCGGACTTGAGCTTTTTCGCATGACTCACAGCGAGGGAGGCGCTGGTCGCAGCGGTGTTTGCGGAGGCGACATCTGTTGCAGGCGGAGACGCTGCGAAATGGAGGGGCTGGGGGTTCAGTTGTTTGGTTTGATTTGGGTTTTGGGTTTTCTGATGTGAGTGGGGAGGTTGGCAGGCTTTTGCGGCTGGTTTTTATTGAACTTTTGGAGTTGGGGAGGGGACTCCGTTTGTTTTCTAAGGTTGGAGATGGGTGTTTCAACATTGTGTGAGCTTAAGTTGAGTTTATGAAGTAAAAAGACAATTCAAGGGCTACATAGTAAGCTTTGTATAGATTCGTATACGTTTGAACTCCGAAAATATGCCTTTCACTATGTCTGATGCACTTTGAATTCCGGGTTTTATTCCGAAACTTGAGTTGCCGGAAGACTGACCTAACTCCGAATGCCCAGGTGGGTCTGATCTAAATATCCCGATAGGGTAAAAGAGGTAAAAGAGGTAGAAGAGGTAGAAGAGGTAGAAGAGAAAAAGAGATTAAAGAGGTTGATATCTATAAACTTATCAACGATATACTCCGCATAAAGGTCTTCCCTAAATCTACAACTTATATCTACCGTTCTAACTAACTTAGAACTTCTAGTTATAGTTAGTTATAGATTCTACAAAGTAGACTCGGCCGAATGCGAAAACGCTTAAAATAGAGTGGAGCGACGGATACGAATGGAGGACGGCAGAAGTACAAGATATCGCAATCTCGGCTAAACACGGCAAAGCAATTCAGATACTACAGTTTGGCAACTAGTTACTCCCCGTAATACTTCGGAACTATGACAAACGGTGTATCTCGCCGATCTTACTCGAATGATTAGTCTTCCGAGTTCCCGTCTGATATCAGCACTAACTCTATACCTTGATCAGGAACTAAGGGGTTAGTCTAAGTGATCATGTTGAACATATATCCGTAGATTCACGGGCTTATATAACAGGTGCGTTAATTGAACAGACATGTACTCCATACGGAGTAGCCCTAGATAAATTCTCTTCGAAAGTTTAATATAAGCTTCTGTAGGTGGTGTGGGAGTATAACCTCTTCTTTGTCGATCTCTTCATGCCCTTCCACGTCCATTTGCCAATCCAGTCGAGTCAGAGCCAGGTACAAAGGCTCACTGTCTGTTTTGAAATGCATTCCATAGCGAAAAAAAAAGAAGATATGAAGACTGCAACTCTACCAAATCGACCGAACTGAGACACATCGGCGATTCAGATCGAGAGATGATTTATATACAGCACACAGTAGCCATCCGGGTAACTAGGGAACAGTTGCACCTCTTAGCGGCTAACAGTGACCCGCAGCCAACCCCCCTCACCATACTTTTATCCAACTTCCAACTGCCTCAATCGCGGTCACTTGAGTCTACCCGCTCCTTATCCATGAAAATTCCGATTCCAAATGACTCCGGAACAAATAGACGAGAGGCTCTTATCCCTCATGAGATATTCCACCACAGACAGACAGTATGATGATCCGCCAACAAAACTAGCTAAGCAAACTAAACCAAAACAGATCCGGATCTCCCCGTCTGACTCTTACTTTTGAAGCAAAACCAGAGCTTGATCCTGTTTATAGAGATTCCTACTCCTTAACCTTCAAGATTACGCGGGATTCAGATGATCCACAAAAGGAACCATGCGTCATCCATTGGGACCCTGGCGAAGATGGATTTGGCCAATCGGGTATAATAATACTTCACCATGAATCCAACGAGCTACGACCCATCCAGGTCGAGCGTAGCCAGTTACCCGCAAAACAACTCCACCCACGGGATGTATCCGCGTCAGATCCATGCTTCAAGCAACTTACCCCAGGCGACACCGTTTCCTGGGAGGTGGTCTTACCGTCTGTCTACTATGGTTCATTCATCGAAGAGCACTTGTACGAAATTTCCTGGCCAGGTGGTCAAATTCCTTTGTGGGACTGGGGAACATTAGCAGAGCATAATGACCAACTCGTCCCAAGGTTCCCTGCGGTGGTACTACCTGGCGGACAACGTCAGTCACTTGAAATCATCAATATCGAAAGTGATATAGAAGACGATGTAGCATCGGGCCCTTCGCCGAGACCCATTTCACCATCTGCCAGGGTGAGCGACGCCCCGGTCTTCACCGTCAGCGTCTCTGGGCCCGCTACACTGTCGATGAAAGACCGCAATATATCAGGGACACTTCGCTATCCAGTCACTGTCACCGTCGCGTATGATGCAGCTCCTGATATACTGCATGAGGAAACCCCCGTTATATTTCATACATTCATTTTCCAAGATATGGATAATCGCTATAATGGTTTCCGGCTCTATGTTGGAGGAAAGGACGGATGGAGTCCGCATGAGCTTAATGGTTTACTCACGCACCATCGTTATCGATTCTCCTTTCCAGACCCATTCCATGTGGGTCATAGCCAGGATCGTTTCCGGATACTAACGCCTGGTGAATCGTGCTCGCTCACTCGGGAGGTGAGTGATTTCCCGAAGAATGCAGCCCCCGGTGATGTATTCCGGTATGGGTATAAGGGAGGCAAGCTTGACTGGTGGGATTGGGGCAAGTCTGAAGATCATGAAGACACCGTGGTGTGGATTTACGGAGGGGTCACAGATCCGAAAGATAATGAAGGTAGGCCTGGGATTATGATTCCAGCTAGTAACTTGATCGAGTTCACAGTCGTTGAGTGAGACGATGGAAATCCGAGGGGTAGAATATATCACCATTACACTGTAACCCTATCAAACAGTCATCTGCTTATATTACGAGAATTAAACAATTTTGTAAGTGTATATTATTGCTTCTGTGAGCGATTCATGTTTCAGTTCGTAGTCTCCGCAGATCCAAATACTTGGCAGCATAATCATTGGCCAATACCGGATCGCCCGTAAGATGCATAACAGTAGCCTTCTTAGCCATCATCTCCGTCTGGCCCTTGATATCTTCGATTTCCTCGAAATGATCATACGCCGAATCAATATACCCAAGAGCACGGTTAATGTACTCTTTTCTCGCAGATGTCGAGTCCCGGCCCTGCAAGCTCCACAACTCACCCGCCATACCCATATTTGCGTCCACGAGAAGTGAATACGCCTGCGCGATGAGGCTGTAATTTTCTGACTCCAGGACCTGGGGCATGATGCTCTCGACTAATTCGCCCGTGGCTTCGAATTCGCGGAGACTCAGTAACACCGTGGCTAATGCGCAGATGGCTTCCCAGAGGTCGACGAGGACTTTTGAGCGATGCGCGATGCTGGCTGCGCGCATGGCGAGGGAGAAGCCGCGTTGCGGTTGGCCGGATTTGCCGAGGATTTGTGCTTTTAGACAGAGGAGTTTGATTTGGGAGTGGATGTCGAAGTTTTCTGGTTGCATGGAGTGCGCGGCTTGCTCGACCATTCTCAGGGCGCGACCGTAATCGCCTTGGCGCATGGTGAATTCTATTGAATAGAAGGCTAGAAGCATGCGCATGTCGAAGTCTCGGAGTTGTACTGCTTGGAGTTGGGATAGAATGTGTTCGACGGCCACCTTGTCGTCGCTGTAGGTTGTTAGGAATGGATCTATAAGAAGTGATATAGTCGGGAGTACTTACCGACAGATTTGTCGTCGCAATTGCAGTAGTCCTGAAAAATAAGTCCAGGCATTGTTATATCTGAAAGATCGGAGCTTCTCTGGGTCGATCTTATTCATCCGCGTATGTGCCTCCTTGTAATTTCCCTTCTGTGCCAACTGTAGATGATATATCAGCATTTCTGTCATAGACTCCTAGAGAAAGGCAGCTGACATACTATTTGGCAATTTCGGAATGTGATCTTGACAAAGTCGTCATGAGGTTGGCCCTCCGAATAGCACTCGCGGAATATCTCGGTATTCAGCCAAGCAAGGTGAGTGGCTCCTATCAGCTGTATTAGCGCCATTGCAATTACTACACATCTAGTATCATACCTATCCTGGCGTACATGGAGCCCTGCAGCAGCATGTATGCACCTGTGGGAGTCGTAACGCCCTTTGTCACATTGACGTGGGATGCTCGCACGAAGGATTCGACAATTGATGCAAGACTCTCCCCCTGTTCATCATTAGCATCCATTTGGTCAAAGAGAAAAATAAATCCTTACTTGCTGCATCTCCAACTTGGCTTCGCTAAGTAATGTGGTACTCATGAGTGACCACATGTCAGTCTCCTTGGACTTGGCCTTGAGGAAAGCGAGGCCCTCTTTTTCGTTACCCAGCATACCACTGTTTTGAACTTCCCGCATCTGCTCTGGGAAAGCTTTGCCGAAGTGATACAGCCAGCTCATGCAGAAGTTCAGGCAGTTCATATCGTGAGACTCGCGAGCAATTGCCACAGCCTCTTGCACGGCTGAGATAGCTTCACTGAAACACTCAAAATCCGCTTGCATGATAGCTAGGTTCAGAAGCGCAAATTGATATGCACTTCGGTCGAGATTCGCGTGCATGGTGTAGTCGAAGTAGCGGTGGAGATTGTCAAAGGCTGAGGTATAGTCTCCAGCCCTCCAGGCGTCGAGATATCTGGCATTTTGTCAATCACAATGTACATCGATAATGATTTATACAACACGTACTCCAGGTAATACATCATCACTGGAACTGAAGCCTCTGAGGTCATGATGCGTTTCAGCTGAGCCCTCATTCCATCCGGAACTCTGCCTCCCATCCCTGTGTCCGTTAGCACATAGGCATGACAAGCTGGAAAAAGAATTGCATACTTTGCAGTTCACTGACTTGGAACTCGATCAGTCGCTCGGCATCCTTGACGCTAACCTCCCCTTCCCCATTCTCATCATCTTCAATGTTACCATACACCACTTGTGAAAGGTGGCTGGTTGAATCCAATCCCAGGTCGCGTAGGTTAACATCAACGGCAATTTCCTCAGCTTCGCGATGTCTGCGACTCCAGTAGCTGTAAGTGGGTAGACGGTATTTGACAAATCCCGCCCAGAGCTTCACGGAGTCGTGAAACTGTAGCCGCGTATATTCAAGATAGGCTCTCCGTACGAACGCGCCAAGCGGCGAACTCCTGGACAGGCGCATGCGATCATCCGCCACTGGTGCAATCCCATTATCCCGGTCATAGATCAAATCCTCGCGTGATTTAGCCAGCAGCGACGGGATAACCTCGCCGAAGAAAGTTTCCAGCGCATCCAGCGAGTCGATGGACCAGAGGTTCTTCAGAAACAAGTCCCAGAGCGTACGCCCAGGAACAGAGGATTCATGGCGAGACAGGCATTCTTCAAGCGCTGAAATTGTCGGCAAGTAATGCTCCTCCCATTGCTTATCGGCGGCATCTAGTGGGAACAGACCCGCTGTGATGAACGAGAGGACGTCAATAGCAGAAGAATTGGGCACGACGCCTTGAGTGTAGAGTGTGACCAGACACAACAAAGAGACTCTCCAGGGAGTCAAATAACGCGTCATTTTGCCTTCGCTATGGCCGCCACATCTTGCTGTGTTCTATCAACGGTATTGTTCCCAAGGGCGCGCGTGTTGGGGATAATTGATCGACACCTGAGGCTGTAAGGCTGCAATGCGGGACAGCACTCGGGAAAAAAAAGATGACGCATAACTACTTTCCTCCGCAACTCACCAATTGAACAATTTCACAATGGCTCAAGCTCTGACTACCACAGATTTGCAGGGTGCCTTGCCCCTTATTGCCAGAGGCAAGGTCCGCGACCTCTATGAAATTGACGATAAGACCCTCCTCTTCGTTGCGAGCGATCGCATCTCCGCCTATGATGTGATCATGGAGAATGTATACAATTCCCCACGCCAATGCCACAATTGTCTTCAGACTGATTGCTAATGCTAGTCTTTCTTTAAAATAGGGTATCCCCAACAAGGGTGTTCTCCTCACCCTCTGCACAAAAACGTGGTTCAAAGCCCTGACGGAGGCAAACCCCTCCCTCCGCACCCACTTCATCACCCTCGACCTCCCTCCCCAGATCCCGGAATCCCTCCGCCCAATCCTGCAGAACCGTAGTATGCAAGTGCGCAAGCTGCGCATTCTCCCCATTGAGGCAATTGTCCGCGGATACATCACCGGCTCCGCATGGAATGAATACAAGAAGTCCGGTACCGTCCATGGAATCAAGGTCCCCGCCGGTCTGCAGGAGAGCCAGGCCTTCCCCGACGGCCCTATCTACACCCCCAGCACAAAGGCAGAGCAGGGCGAGCATGATGAGAATATTCATCCGGATCAGGGTATGTTCTTTTCGTCGAATCCGTTGGCTTGATATATCAGTACCAGATGTATAGTACACGAGACAAGACCTCCACCTAACACATCACTTACAGCTGTCGCCATTCTTGGCGAATCCTACGCCTCGACTGTTGCCAAGATGGCCGTTGAGCTCTACAAGACAGCACACGAGTACGCCCTCGAGCGTGGTGTGATCATCGCCGATACCAAGTTCGAGTTTGGAGTTGATGAGGAAACTGGTGAAGTTGTGTTGGCTGATGAAGTCCTGACGCCCGACTCCTCCCGCTTCTGGCCTAAGGAATCTTACGCTGTCGGACGCGGCCAGGCCAGCTTCGACAAGCAGTTCCTGCGTGACTGGTTGGTCAGTGAGGGTCTCAAGGGTAAGGAGGGTGTGCGCATGCCTGATGATATTGCCCTCAAGACGGCGGAGAAGTACCAGGAGGCTTGGGAGAAGATCACCGGTGGTAAGATCTAGAGTGAGGTATACGGTTAAGCCCGCTATATTGATGGATATATATATGATTCACAAGTGTAGATTTTTGTGTTTGTTTATGATTGATTCGAGACGAGAATGAAATTCAAGTATCATGTTCAATGGTTGGCCACCATGGAGGCTGCAGCACAGATTATTATACACATATATGGCGCTATTTTGTCCTACCTTTACTCCTCCCACTCAGACTTCAAGCCCTTGAGACCCTTCTTATTTGAATCCCGATCCTGCTGCTTGCTCTCTTCCTTGATGGACTTCTTGGGCGTATCAGTCCAACCAGAGCTAGCACCCTCATCAAGAGGCAGCGCATTATCACCACAAATACGTCGCTCCTCTTCAATCTCCGCCTCACTTATGCCATTCGTCGCCCAGATCTTATGAATGCGTAGATCAAAGGGACCCTCAACACGGTCGGTGAGACCAATACCGATACTCTTAACACGCTGCCGAGTCAAAGAGGTCTGGGGCTCAATGACAAAGCCGTGATTCGTGCGCACAAACGAGTTAAAAGGCAAAAGAACAGTCTCCCATCCATTTGAGCCAGACGTTGTTGTACTGGTAGAGGTAGAAATGATCGTCGATTCGGGTGGGACGTCTGAAAGCGCGGCGGGCAGGCCAGTGGGATATAGGTCCTCAACGGCATCGGGTGAGTCTGCCTGGAAGTCATAGTCTTCCTGCGAGCTTGGTGTGTCACGCAGGCGGTGGTGTCGCGTGTATAGTCTGTGTTGGTGGATATCCGTCTCGACGACCGCGTCTGTTTGAACATTGACGGTGTACCGGCGGCCGTCGGACTTGATACGCAGGGCAAGATACGCGTAGGGATCAACGTCCCAGAAGAGCCGACCGAAGAGCCAGAAGCCTCGGTCTTGGTTGCGGAACGCGGCGTAGCCTAGTTTACGGATATTAGTTGTTTTCTTTTTCCCTTTTTCTTTTCTTTTCTTTTTTTTTTTCGTTCTAGGCCACTTAAATGTGTCACTTGGGTAGCAAACATACCGGTTCTTTCAACGCGCCAGTTGTCAGGAAGCTTAGTTGAGATGCTACCGTGGAAGCGCGCATGCGAGGGAGTATTTGAAGAAGGTTCAGCTGGTTCGTAGTCTAGGCTGGCTGTGCTAAAGCCTCCTACTGCGCGGTCCGCCATGGTCTTGCATCCTGTAACGGTGCCCTCGTCTTCGAAATTCAAGAGTGTATAAGGTTTAGTCGGGGTATGGAGGGCTTCTGTATTCCAAGCTGCGGCAAATTAGTTGAGCTGCAAGACTGACGACATTGACACAACTTACCGATCTTTGATAATCGGCCGAACTCATCGGCGCTGCGTTTGAAGAATCCGCCTTGGGCTAGACGTCGAGTTGGAAACATATTGTAATTGTAATTGAGGACCTCGGGATAGGGAGTAGCCCAGATACGTCTGGAGTTGGAGTTGCTTAATATCAGGCGCTTCCGAGGTGGCGTGAACGGGATCGATAAGATAGTGTTTGGGATGTTTGATTTCTCCTCTCTCTTCTCTTTCTGCCCTAACTTCCTTTATACTTCATTTTCCATTGTTTTTATAATATATGTATCTTGGGAAGCTGTTGAACATCTCTCAATAATAGACACGTCATTATGTTGCAACTTTACTTTCCAGAGACTCGGGATCTGGTATTTAGAATTCAAGATTCACGCTAAATGCACCAGCCAACACCTTGAAGACTTGATCTTTCTTTGTCCCTATTGAGCTTAGTACTGTATCAAATTACATGCATGTACCGATGACTGACGACATTCTGATCCTCAGGAGCATCTCGTATACTTCGCCAGGCCGACACCTGAATTGGTATGACGCGTATTCCCTTTTTCGGAGGGAGATCCAGACTTCATGGCCAACTTTATCTGAAGACTCTTGGACAATACACGCTGTAAACCTCTCCATGAGGGCCCAGCTCCAATCATTTTTCTTGATGTCCGATTCTGAACCGGTGGTTTGATGGTGCCTTGGACTACAGAGCCCTGGGTAAGGCTTGATTCTGAGTCAAGACCGCTCCTTACTAGTACTATGAGGGCTCCCCGGAAATATACCGTGGTTAGCTTCATATGTACTTGTCCATCCAGGGGAATCCCAGCTTTTGGAAAGCGGATATTTCGATTTTTATCCGAATATGGCGACGGAGACGATTTTCATAGAGGATATCCCCCGTAGTTATCTCAATGCCTCATCCTCTTCTCTCTTCTTTCTCCATACATCTATACCACGCTCGTTTACCGCAGTTGAACCATTCGTTTATCGCAGTACAAACACCTAGTTACTTTCGTTGATTATATATCTCCCAATGTCTCCAATGGCGATTCATTACGTCGAACGAAACGGCTCCGATCCTAGTATCACTAGGCATAGTGCCCCGGAGCCTACTATTCCGAGGCTGGATGACCATGAACATGCAGCTTCGGAGTCTAGTTCTTCTAGATCTAGTAGCTCGAAGCCTAGTACCCCAGAACAAACTGTTGCCGAGCTAGTCAAGCCAACCGACGGAAAGAAGCCGAGGGAGGGAGACACGCCGGTGTACGTCCCGCGTGCGGACCGACTGAATCAAACTCCTAGCAAGGGAAATGCACAGGGCCTCTTTCTTCCGGACTGTTGTGTTTTTGTGGGAAAGTAGGTGTTACCCAGTCTTAATTTGGTACTATATATATTGACTCTGAATAGCCTCTCCATCAAGGTTTCTCCCGAAAAGTTGGAAGAAGATCTTACAGATATGATCTCTGCATTTGGCCGGTGTCATGTTAAGATCAAACTGTCACAGGGGTTGAAGAAACTACCTGTTGGCTTTGTACAATTTGAAGTGAGTATTATTTTATATATCATATGGATATATATAAGATATATGCTGTGTATAGCATATACTAACATACTAAATAGGACACCAAAGCAGCAAACGCTGCATTGAAACAAAATGGAAATCTGATGCTCCATAATCGAGTGTTGAGATTGGAATCATCCAAGGCTAGACGTAAGTTCCCTTTGATTTTTTGTTGTTGGACTCTTCATCTGATGTCTCTGCACCTCTGCACTTTTACTCCTTCGCACCTTCGCACCTTCGCACTTTCTCGCCTTCTCATCTCCACACCTCACACCTTTCTTTTACTTAGGAACTGCCAACTTCGGTTATCTCTCTGATGCCCCCATCGAAAAATCTGAAGTCGTCGCTGCCCTGAAGGGACGTGGTAGCCTTGAGGGTATCGGCATTGAACACTTTGTCAACCAAGACGGAGTCAAGTCTACCTTTGGCGTTGTCACTTTCGCATACCCCGATGATTACGCAGATGCCCTCCAGGTAAGTCGACTGTCCAATTTTGCTCTGACTTTACTGACCACTTGATAATTCTAGCATTTCCAAAACAACCCCGATTACTATATGACTAGATCCAGTATGGACCCCAACAACGACAGCCAGCTTGCTCAGGATTACCCTCCTGCAGGACACAGGCCATCTAACCAACCTCCCCCAAACCGTGGCAATCAGCAGCGATACAACAATGGTCGCAGGTCCTTCCATCGTCCATGGTTCAGCGGCAGCAACAACAACAGAGGCGGATTCCGAAATGCTCCTGGTCCTGCCCCCAGAAACCAAAACGCACCCTTTGCAAATCATGGTCACAGTCAAAGCTTCAATGGTCATGGCCATTCGCCTCACGGCTCTTTCCATCAGAACTACCCCGGTGGCCAGGGTTTCCCTCAGAACAACTTCAACCAGGGCTATCCCAACCCCAACTTCAATCAAAACTTCCCGGGCAACTTCCATTCGAACTATCAGGGCAACAACTTCCCCCAGAACTACCCCAATCAAAACTTCGTAGCTGCGGGTGCCTTTCCCAATCCCCCTGTTGTGTTCAACCAAATGCAAATGCATGAGGGCCCACCCCCGCCATATCACACGGAGTACACTGCTATGCCAACCCAAGGGTTTCCTGTGTTCTTGGGCAATCAATCATACCAGCCTCCCAATACTCTTCCTCCAATCATCACTCAGCCCCAGCCCGTTGCTGGTCCTGTTGCTGCTTCGGTTCCCGGTCGCCGGCGACTGCCCCCTCGTCCCGACTGTCCCTTGATTGTCTCCAGTCAGCCCCAGTTTGACACCGAACATCACAGGCAGCTCTATTACGAACCCTATCCCACTGAGGAACCCGTCGCAAGTATGCAGCCAGGTTGGACCGGTTACCCGGGTGTCTGTTTCGCGCAGCCTGACTACAACCAGCCCTACCCGCCTAACCCATATCCTCGCAGTCGTCAATCTAGCATGGAAAGTCAGCAGAATATCAACTCGCCGCCTAGAGCAAACGAATGCGAGTCCGCCTTGATGCAGACTAAAGTCCAGGCCCCCGACATGGAGAGAGGTCGCCAACTAGTTCGACCACACCACTCCAATACCGATGGAGGCTGTGACATGGCTCCAGTGTCTGTCCCTGCTAAAGCCCAGAGTGACCCCGTCTCCGTACAAGCTCTGGATAGTTCCCCGGCAAGACTTAACACGGCATATGCGAGCAAGTCCGCTGATGCTCAAATTGAGCCCGCCGCACCTGTGGAGGAGCCTGCCGAGCCTGAGAACAAACCCACCGAACCTGAGACCGAGCCCAACCCGCCTCAGGCCGGATCCACATGTGCTCCAACTCATGACAAAACAAAAGAAGAGTTGGTTGATGAAACCAAGCCACCATTGAAAATTGACACTAAGAATGAAGAAAGTGCTGGGTCCTCCTCCGAGGCCGGCCCCAAGACACCAGACACCGACGAGTCTCGGGAAAGCGCTAAACTTCAGACTCCAGCCAAAGATGACTCACTGAAATCAGGCGATACCAAGACCCCTGATACCGTCGAGACCCTCAAGGCAGTCGACAAGGACACCCCGGACAAAGGCAAGTCCCCGGAAGTAGTCACGCCCACTCCAACCAAGAGTGGCGGCAGAAGACTCGAGCCCGCAGTGCCACAGGACAAGTACCAACTGGCCCGCCATGCTTTTCAGCATCGCAAACCCCTCAAGAAAAAATACCGACCCAAGACCGACACCGGTAAGACAGTTGAGCAGTACACCCGTGAGGTGAATACGCAGCGCGCCTCGACCGACCCTGACTCGCGTGTCCCTGAGCATCTCCTGCAAGAGGTCATCCAAGAGCTCGAGAATGAGCGCAGAGATAATATTCGGAAGAGCCGAGGTCTCGGTCCCAGTGATAAGAGCAGCGTTGACAGTGGTACTTCTTCGAAGAAGTAGGTTTGATATTGACACATTGAAATGGGGACGAAGGAAGTTATCCGGTTTGATTTGCTTTCTATGACAGGGGTTTTATTCTTATCTTTTCCTTTCTTTTGTTCCAAACTAGTTCTATGGTCTGGCGATTCTTTATTCGAATCTGTGTATCTGCCTTTCATGGAAAAGCAAAAAAAGCAAAAAAGGGGAGCATGTATATTACGATAAACATGCTCGATTCAATTACCAAATTTGAATTTTTATTCTGCAACTTGCCCATTCCTATCTGTGATCCAATGCGTTGATACCAATATTAATTAGTTCCTAACAGTAAAATTCTTAGTTCAAATGCCGTAAATCACCTACCATAAGCTGCCCTGAAGTATGAAATATAAAGATAAAGAATGAAGTGGCTCATCGATAATAATACGATCTGATTTGATCTGATTTAATTGACATGGCTGGAATGGCAACTTGATCCCCGCCCATGTAAACGCCGAGACCGAAAGCCGGTTTATATGTACAAAATGCTTCTCGATGCTAGGTTGCATGCCATAGATACCGAAACCGAATGCCAGTGGGGGATAGTAATGCACGCCGAAGAAAAAAGAAAAGAACGCAGGAAAGAAGAAAATGGCCAATTCCCATATGCAAACGCTCATGGTTAGATAGATGTGGGAATCGTGGGGATAGAGGGTATGCTGTGATGGTAGTAGGAGGTGGAGGTGAAAATTGGGAAGTGATCGGATATGAAGGAGATAACGCTGGGGGACTAAACAACTGGAGCGCAGGGGGAAATGACGAGAAAGATACATAGGTAAGGGAAGAAGGTGGAAAGTATACGTGTAGGAGTGTGACCTCTCCCAAGGATTTAGTGATTAGCTTGATCATCAAGCTCTCACACGTCTAGCATCGAAAAGGCCCAGATTGACAGCTGTATCATTGACGCCTAGGAACGGCGCCGCATCCTCAAGTAGCTCCCAAGGACGGACTGGATAGGGACCAACAACACGACCGCGATGTTGAAGACGAAGCCGGTTGGTCATGGAGTTCGAGTCAGGCAGTGCGGTAGATGGACCCGACGCGGCTGTGACAGACTGCTGCGCTGTGGACGATCCAACGATAGAGAAGAGAGCAGGTGTGGGGGTTGGGGTTGACCCCGATGCTGCCGGAGAGGGGGCCGAGGCTTGGTGGGCATTTGCGGGGTATTGGTCTGAGATTGGGCCCAGGAGGTAGAGGAAGCGAGCGTCGTTCTGGAATGGAACGAATGATGGGCATTTCTCTTTCAGGAACCGTGCGCATTGGTGGCGGACTTCGTCTGGGAAGATGTCGATTAACGAGGCAGCCACGTCGAGGGCGTGGGTCTGTAGGAGGATTCCCGGGCAGGGACGGAAGCCTTCAGTTGGGGTCGGGTGGGGGAAGTAATCGGCTGCAGGGAAGAGACGAAGGACATTCCCGGGAAGGCGCGAGAGTGCAATGCAGAATATTGATGTCAGAAGTCGGAGCTGTTCGTGCAGAGGATTGATCTTGAGAGCTGGGGGCGGTTGGGAGAATGCAGCTCGATGGAGGACGATGATCCTCAGCAAAGCAGAGAACCAGAATGCCAGCGCACGCTCGAATTTTGAACGATCTGTGTTGGCCACACCCTTGGCGAGTGTACTGTTGTGTATGGTGATGATCTTGTGGAGAAGGGAATCCATCTTTTCCACAAGCACCGGAGCGACAGATGGGGCTCCAGAATCGGGGATGCTGCTCGCAAGCTCTTCTATAATGGTAAGATACATTTTGGCAGTTTCCAATGATCCCAGCTTGTCAGGCGAATCCGGAATATCATCTATTGGCTCCTCAAGCAATGGGATGGAGAAAAACTCCTTCTCTGCACGTTCCCGGATTTGGCGTACGGCCTCCGGGCTCATCAGTGCAACTAGGTCAACCCAGTGAAGTCTGTGAGCACGACAGTCTGATACGGCAGTTTTGAACATGGCATCAACAATATTGGTTCGGTCTTCAGATCCCGAGTCTGCGTGGAATAGAACTTGGAGCTTCAACTGGCAAAATGGGAGCGAGAAGTCGTCGGTCATGCAGGCAAGCTTTTCGACCTTTGAGAGGACTGAGCTACCGTCGGACTGTGACTCGATGCCCAGTAAAAGGTCAAGCGCTTTCTGGACAATACTCAAAGCGGCTGGATATTGGTCCATGAGCTTTTGCATGCCATTCTGTGCCGCACATTCGGGGTGTCGCACGAGAAGATCACGTAACAACATGACGATAGAGCGCTCCGTCTCGGTGTGTCCAGTGGAAGAGCTACCGGCATTGGAAGATGCGGCGTCACAAACAATTTTGAGCGCTTCCTCGGAGTTCTTATTGAGAAATTCCTGTTGCGCCAACTGGAACCGATATGACACCAAATCAAAACACTTGCTATCTTCGTCACCAGAGACAAGAAGTTGGACAAGATCAGCAGGCAGTTGGGCTGCATTGGGAACTGTTGCTGGCTTAGAGAGTGTGAGTTTCTTTGCAAGGGCCAAAAAAGCTCTGATAGTAACGCATCCCACACCAATCAGCGGCGGTAGAATCCGCAGTAAGATGGTACGTTCAGGAGATCGCAAATGACCACAGACCCAACGGGCAAGAATGCCATCGAAATGCTTTGGATGGAAAGACCTGAGCTGTGCAAGGTAACGGCAGGTGTCGTTTGCTGACAGGGTTGCATGGCCATCATCAGACTCTAAATGCTTTATGAGTGTGTTGAAGATCGCGTCCAGAGTGGGCTCGTCCATGACATTTCCTGATTGCAAAAGCTGATCTAGTTTCTCTCGGAAGAAGGGATCGACGCCACCAAAACCATCTGGAATGTGGTCAGAGACTGGAGAAGATGCGGCCATGATTGCCTTGTTCTCCATGCGAGAGAGATCCTGGCGAAGAATGGACACAGTGTTGAGATCACTCGGGATGCGTAAACCAAGTTCGATCAGAGAGAATATCAAGTCAAGACTTGGCATGCCAAACCTCTTAACGCCGGCGTAGGCATCAATGAGTCTCCGGAATAGATCGGTTGTGGCGCCAATCACGCAAAGAGATTCGAAATGGCAGTTTGTGGTATCTGCAACGGAGGCGAGAACGGTGCTATCACCACAACTAGATGCAAACTTCAACACATCTGCTAACATTGAAATGTCGCCAAATGATTCAAGAGCATCGCGGACGGTATAAAACTCCGCGGGAGTCAGCGCAGACACCACGGAGGCAATGCCAACGGGAAGTGCTCCTCTGTTAGTTGACCTATTAGCGATTTAGTAAGGACAAGTGACGGGTTTGGGAGAGAAAAGTGCAAATGCTTACTCTGCGCTTCGGTTGTGTTCCGCAATTGCTCTGCGTAACCACTGGCCAACCTCGGCTTTGACAGCCCAAGGCAAGTTTGGTGGTAATGAGTCTAATGCCATTGACGCAGATTCGTGGACGCCGAAAATTCCGGGTAAACGTTGGCTGATGATTCCTTTCACACTATCGATAGCTGCGTTCTCATCCGAGGTAGAGAGCCCAGTACGGGTCAACAGAGTGCTCCGCAAGTTCCCAACATGTTCTGGAAGACGGGTAACAGGGAGTTGCGCTATCAATCCGACATCGATTGGCAAGTCCTTCACCTACACATCGGTTAGTGATCAGAAGGATTTGGTATGTAAATTCGATCTTACCTTGCGCTCCTCGGCTGAGGATGATCCATTGGTAACGCCACGCGCCGTGAGCCATTGAAGATAGCGGCCAACTGAGAATGTCTGTGACCTGACAAGTTCAGAGACGACATGATAGATTTGATCCATGTTGAGCTTTTGATTGTTTTGTCCACGCGAGAGAAAGGCCAGTATGTGACTGTCGATATCAACGCCGGCCAATTTCCATTTGCGGAGCAGGCGAACACCAATGTAAACCCGGCAGAGACCGTGGCGGAAAGGTGTAGAGAGCCATTCTAATAACTTGAAAACCAAAACAGACTTGTCATCAAAAGCGTCGAGATAGCCAAAGACAGAAGAGAGATCCTGAGCGGAGCGTATGGAGTCGAGAAGTCGGACGATGCGTTGATGGGGTGAGCGTTGAGTCGTCTGTTTCGAGTGTCTAGGACGTTGCACTCGCGCATTGCGTTCTGTTAGACTCTGGAAAAGAGCTTTCTCTGCCTCATTGCCCAAATCAAGGGCAGATGACACCTGTTGTTGATATGTCTCCCAAGAATTTGGGAGTATCATCGAGGAGGTATGATCGAGAACAAGCTTCTTGATAAAGCGAGAAAGACGGTCGATAAGAGGTTGAAGTTGAGTTAGTTTAGCTTCAGTTGCCTATTGCTAGCTATCAGTATTGACTGCACGTACAAAGTAATTAGTGCAAGTTGAACACACCTGTCGCAGTTTTTGAAGCAGCAGCTCAGCTAATCGTCGTCCCCTTCGTCGATATCGCATAATACTATTCCAGTATATGCCGAGCATTAAAAGCCAGACTGGAGTCGTGCCGATAGAAGCAGCCTCAAAGGATGACAAAAACCATTCAAGGAAATGGTCGTGATCCAGTAAGTTTTCGGAGAATAAACGAGCTGTCAACCCGACTCTAGAGATAAAGGTTAGCATGCTGCTCACAATTGACGGCAATCCACGAGCACGTACGCATATGTCATCTTCGCTTTCCAATCCTCGGACTTGGGGGCAGCAAACACCCCCTCGACAAATTGCTGGACATTTGTCGTCCAGTCTCGGACCCATTTCGCCTCCAACCCAACAGCCAAAGCCCCACTGGTGCCTTTTCGCTTGAATGCACGGATTTCATTCGCACCCACACATTTTGCCAACCAGACAGCACGTGCAATCGGAATCCATTTACCACAGCACTGGTCCAGGAGGATCTTGCCGCGGATACCGTGCGGGATAGTGCGGCTCAACCTTCGCAGCGGAACGGACGGGTTGGCGAGATCCCGAAGCCACGCCTCGCGTTTGTTGTCGGTGAGTGTAACTCGAGGTGGCGGTTTAAAGGTTGACGGA